TCAAAGCATGAAATCTGCCAATGTTGTCGAATTTTTTTGACTTAGCAACAAGTTCTGAAATAGTATTGTAGTAGTGAAAGTCAAGTACCCACTAGGAGGAGTCTTTCCATAGGGTAGATGTAGTAGAGTTCATTTGTTTTTTTAACGCCAACCCACACAGGTATTGTGTGCACATCCGTCTTATTTACTCCCACTGGTGTTATGTACATGTGTCAGGGCTGGTGGACATCTGGGATGGACTGCAGGCTCGAGATTTAAATGTTAGCTAGCATAGTTGGGCATGCACACTTTGTGACAATCTACCTTTGTTTTACTGACTTTTCTAACTGGCACAGCCCACTCATCTATGCTTTTGTGATAATTTCAGATGACGAAAGGCCAAAAAGCTCCCGCCATCGGCATTGATTTGGGCACAACGTATTCATGCGTTGGTGTTTTCCAGCATGGGAAAGTAGAAATTATCGCCAACGACCAGGGCAACCGTACAACACCAAGCTATGTTGCCTTCACAGACACAGAGCGCCTTGTTGGCGACGCTGCCAAAAACCAAGCCGCCATGAACCCCAGCAACACCATATTTGATGCCAAGAGGTTGATAGGTCGTAAATTCAATGATAAGACTGTTCAAGGGGACATGAAACATTGGCCATTTAAAGTTGCTGATGTGGATGGGCGACCTAAAATCAAAGCCGAGTACAAAGGAGAACAAAAACTGTTTGCACCAGAAGAAATCAGTTCTATGGTTCTGATCAAGATGAAAGAGACTGCAGAAGCATATCTGGGCCAGAAAGTCACAGATGCAGTCATCACAGTTCCTGCCTATTTCAACGATTCACAGAGACAGGCCACAAAAGATGCCGGGGCCATCGCCGGTTTAAATGTGCTGAGAATTATCAACGAGCCAACAGCAGCAGCGCTGGCCTATGGACTAGACAAGAGGCATAAAGGTGAAATTAATGTACTCATCTTTGACCTCGGAGGTGGCACATTTGATGTCAGTGTGCTGACCATTGATGAAGGTTCAATGTTTGAAGTGAAAGCCACTGCCGGAGACACTCACTTGGGTGGAGAGGACTTTGACAACAGAATGGTCAATCACTTTGTGCAGGAGTTTAAACGGAAACACAACAAAGATATGAGCTCCAACCCGAGGGCCATCAGGCGCCTGCGCACTGCCTGTGAACGAGCCAAGAGGACCCTGTCCAGCAGCACAGAAGCATCCATTGAAATTGACTCTCTCTACGAAGGCATTGACTTTTACACCAAAATGACCAGAGCCAGATTTGAAGAGCTGTGCGGTGACCTGTTCAGATCGACGCTTGAGCCCGTCGAGACAGCTTTGAGGGACGCTAAGCTCGATAAAGGCAAAATCGATGAAGTGGTCTTGGTTGGAGGGTCAACACGTATTCCCAAGGTGCAGACGCTGTTGAGCGACTTCTTCAACGGAAAAGAACTCAACAAATCCATTAACCCCGACGAAGCTGTGGCCTATGGCGCTGCCGTCCAAGCTGCTGTGCTCACTGGAGACACGAGTGACACCATCAAGGATGTTCTACTTGTTGACGTAGCTCCATTGTCTCTCGGCATTGAGACAGCTGGAGGCGTTATGACTGCCCTCGTCAAGAGAGGCACCACCATCCCTACAAAAACATCCCAGATCTTTACCACTTATGCTGACAACCAACCCGGAGTCGACATACAGGTGTATGAAGGTGAGCGGACCATGACTAAAGACAATAATCTCTTGGGTCGATTTCACCTGACAGGTATCCCGCCTGCTCCTCGCGGGGTGCCCCAGATTGAAGTCACCTTTGACATCGATGCCAATGGTATTCTCAATGTCACAGCCCAAGACAAGAGTACTGGAAAGTCGAATAACATTACCATAAAAAATGATAGAGGTCGCCTCAGTCAGGCAGATATTGATAGAATGTTGGCCGAAGCTGAAAAGTACAAAGATGAAGACAGGAAACAACAAGAAAAAGTCAGTGCCAGAAACCAACTGGAGGGCTATGTTTTCAGTGTCAAGCAGGCAGTGGACGCTGCTGGTGACAAACTTTCTTCTGCGGATAAGGATTCTGTGCTCAATGCCTGCAATAGCACACTCAAATGGCTGGACAATAATTCGCTGGCCGAAAAGGAAGAGTTCGAAGACAAACTAAAGGAAATACAAAAGATCTCTTCATCTATAATGGCTAAATTACATACAGGACAGAGTGGGCATGGGGATCAGTCACACAGTAATCACAACGGACCAACTGTTGAAGAGCTAGATTGATCTGCATAAATAGTTTGTATTATGAAAAAGATTTAAGTGAACTATTTTTAAATAGTTTGTTTTCAGATGGAATTATGTGATAAAATAAGACAGTGTTTATTAAACTACTTATACATTTTGATAAATTGCAATATTTGTTTCACTATTGTAAAGTTTATTGTATATTGATGTAAATAGTCAAATGTACCATTGATTAAATGAAACGCAAGTAGAGCTACTTTCTTATGTGTGTATGTTTTATTTTGCTAAGTGTAAATGATTAAAGACATTGAAATGTTATTAATAGTTGTTGAAAGAAATGGTTTATATAATGCTTTTGTTTTTTAAAAAAAATGGCTTTTCAGTTTTAAATGAGCGAATAAAAGTTTATGCAAATATTTTGAGCTGTTATTTTTTCTTCTTTCAAATATCGTTGTTCAATACTACTATCAAAAATAATCATCATTGAAAGAAATCACTTTTTGTTATCTGGAAATTCCAATTTCTCGGGTCAAAGTATGTACAAGTGTGTTTTCTGCCCAAGTGCTGACAAAAAAACAAAACAATACAACAAGAGCATTTTGAAGTCTGTTGCAGTGGATTGTATGCTTCATTGCATCACCAACAATTTTATGTAGAGACTTCATGTTGTGATCTGACAAGCACATCAAAACAGATTAAAACAGCATTCGATGTCACTCTTCGAAAAAACTTAGGCAAAACTATATTAACTTTTGAAACTAAATAACCACACGCACAATATGTCAAACTTTATTGCCAATAAAAGGTGGTGGATACACTTAAAAATTATTTTAAACTTTGTTTTATAAAAATTTTGGAGTTTTATACATGACAGACTAAAGTGTAACTGTAATCAATAGGAATACTGTGCAGTATGGGTTGGCTGGTAAACATAATATTTTCTCTTTTATATTCAAACTGTGGCGCTTCATCCATGACGCAACAAAGTGAAAGATAATCAATATGACAGATGTACATATTAATATTTTGAACTCAACACTTGACCAAATCGGTTGTTATTTAAGAAACAACCAAAACATTTACTTGGTGGCCAATGAAGTTAGCGCCAAACGTAAAAAAAAAAAAAAATCATCAATAAATAGTAAGTTATTTGCCAAAAAAGTACAAATTTTGAAGCATTTTTTAACAATTTTCTATAACTCTCAGATAGAGTGTAAATGCCAAATTGCTGGATACTGTTTAATTATTTTTGCTTTTCTAAAATTCTTTTGACTGTATGCAAGTGTGTTGAATGTCATACTGTATGCAGAGCTACAAAAAGCCACATAATTACATTGTTAATAATTATTTAGGGCCGTCCATCGCCACACACATACCCCCACCCAAGGATCATCACAAACAGTCAGACGCAAACTACCCTATGCAGCTACTCAGACCAGCCCTCTTGATAACAATTTTCTTGTATTTTATTTCGAATATAACGATCTATTTCTAAAAAGCAAAATCATTTTGCACCAAAACAAAAATATCGAACTACCGAAAAACCTTGCAAGTTACTAATAAGCTGATTTTGTGGAAAAAAAACAACAACTTGCTAATCACAATTTAATTCTCGAATATAAACTGTTTAACAGAAAAGGATCAAACTTTAGTCGATTTTTATTACACATTACAAAAGAAAACAAAACAAAAAATCTATCAAATATGCGAAATTAACTCCTGCTACAATGTAATTTTAAAATGCTAACTCGTCACGTCTACCACTATCCATGATTCCCTAAACCCCCCTTGCAGTATGTGACATTATTTTTTGACAATCCATTTATTTACTATAACTGTATAATTATTTGTAAAGAAACAAGTGCAAACGACATATAATCAAAAAGCTAAACATGGTGTCAAATTATTTGAACGATAATTTGGTCAAGTTTTGAGCAAACGATGAGATTTTCAAAAGCGACGACAGTGTAAATAAAACCGTTAAAGCTATTCTAATAATCTGTACGAGCCGGCCCGCGGCATAACATACGCCGCTATTTAGTTGTTTTTTTTCTACTTTTCAGTAATTCATAATTTGTGAATTCGACGGCACCAACGCTGCCACTGAAAATATTTCTTTAAAACACTATAAGTAGCAAGATAAGAACCATAACCCCCCCCCCCCACCTTCCGCCCCCCCCCCCCTACGTTTAAAATCGTTTCAAACTAAATTATCTGCCCCTAATAGTCGTCACTAAACCCGGCTCTGCTTGTAAACATTTAGAGTGAACACAACTCACTAAGACCATGTAAGGGTGGGGGTGGTAGGGAGCTTGTTTTTACAGCTTGTTTTCTAGCGTCTCCCAGAAGAGAATTATATATATAGATTGCACATCACATGTTAAATAAATTTACTATTAGATCTAATATAATTAAGTTTAATTCAATTATTTCAAAATGTTATTTTCGCTCTATTTGACCAATTAATTTTTTTTTAAATTTGTGTAACAAAATAAAATTCTCAAATAGATCGGATATTAGGATAGATATATATTATATAATATATCACCTCTAGATCTAAAAAAAATGTAAATATAGATCTAGATCTAGATAGCCTTCTGTTATTGACTTTAATTATTATTTCATCTCTAATAGTAAGAAAATGAATCGTCTATTTTTTTGTAATAGAACATCTTACACTAGCCACTGAATGGTAATAATTTAAATACAAATGATAGGCTAAATTAAATCGGAACGTAATCATTATTCAATTGGTCTCTGTTCATAACGAACCGAAATATGTCAAAGGTTACAAAGGTTATGGCGCATGCGCAGCGGTATCGCTTACGACCAATCAGCTCCTTGTATTCCTCGGTGTATCTAAAAATAAACATCTAGAACTTGCCACGAGATTCGTGTGTGCACCAGAGACTGTGTTTACATTCTAGGTTTTTCTACCTCAGCTTCAACGAAATGTATATAAGTAACGAGCCAGTTGAGGTGGACAGATTAAGACTCGAGCGAGCTAAGATACAGCAGAGAAAGCAAAGCAAGAGTTGAAATAGAAAAGAAGCCTACAGCCCGAATCTAAGAGATTAAAACAGATCACAGAGGAGTGTAAAAGTAAATCCAAATCGGTTTTCTATTATTGTGTAACACAGTTCTTGACTTGGAAAAACATACTACTCATCAGAATCAAACATTATTGTGGTGACTGTCATCGAAATTTAAGTGAAGGTAAGTAACATTTTGTTTCACAATTAACCTATGCATTGTTATGATTAGGTAAATACATGGATTTAAAATAGCAATAGGCTATGTATTCAAAGAAATCCATCATACACAACTTATGATGGTAGTAGCAAAACATTGTGTTGTAAAGGTGTGTATTCTGTCGGCTTAAAGAGTTGGCTCTTTCGACTATTTAATCAAAGCATGGAATTTGCTAATGTTGTCGAATTTTTTTGACTTAGAAACAAGTTCTGGTTTCAATATATTTTTTCCCTATACATTGAAGGTAGGCCTATAGAAGCTGAATTAGTATTGTAGTAGTAAAAGTCAAGTACCCACTAGGAGGAGTCTTTCCATAGGGTAGATGTAGTAGAGTTCATTTGTTTTTTTAACGCCAACCCACACAGGTATTGTGTGCACATCCGTCTTATTTACTCCCACTGGTGTTATGTACATGTGTCAGAGCTGGTGGACATCGGGGATGGACTGCAGGCTCGAGATTTAAATGTTAGCTAGCATAGTCAGGCATGCACACTTTGTGACAATCTACCTCTGTTTTACTGACTTTTCTAACTGCCACAGCCCACTCATCTATGCTTTTGTGATCATTTCAGATGACGAAAGGCCAAAAAGCTCCCGCGATCGGCATTGATTTGGGCACAACGTATTCGTGCGTTGGTGTTTTCCAGCATGGGAAAGTAGAAATTATCGCCAACGACCAGGGCAACCGTACAACACCAAGCTATGTTGCCTTCACAGACACAGAGCGCCTTGTTGGCGACGCTGCCAAAAACCAAGCCGCCATGAACCCCAGCAACACCATATTTGATGCCAAGAGGTTGATAGGTCGTAAATTCAATGATAAGACTGTTCAAGGGGACATGAAACATTGGCCATTTAAAGTTGCTGATGTGGATGGGCGACCTAAAATCAAAGCCGAGTACAAAGGAGAACAAAAACTGTTTGCACCAGAAGAAATCAGTTCTATGGTTCTGATCAAGATGAAAGAGACTGCAGAAGCATATCTGGGCCAGAAAGTCACAGATGCAGTCATCACAGTTCCTGCCTATTTCAACGATTCACAGAGACAGGCCACAAAAGACGCCGGGGCCATCGCCGGTTTAAATGTGCTGAGAATTATCAACGAGCCAACAGCAGCAGCGCTGGCCTATGGACTAGACAAGAGGCATAAAGGTGAAATTAATGTACTCATCTTTGACCTCGGAGGTGGCACATTTGATGTCAGTGTGCTGACCATTGATGAAGGTTCAATGTTTGAAGTGAAAGCCACTGCCGGAGACACTCACTTGGGTGGAGAGGACTTTGACAACAGAATGGTCAATCACTTTGTGCAGGAGTTTAAACGGAAACACAACAAAGATATGAGCTCCAACCCGAGGGCCATCAGGCGCCTGCGCACTGCCTGTGAACGAGCCAAGAGGACCTTGTCCAGCAGCACAGAAGCATCCATTGAAATTGACTCTCTCTACGAAGGCATTGACTTTTACACCAAAATGACCAGAGCCAGATTTGAAGAGCTGTGCGGTGACCTGTTCAGATCGACGCTTGAGCCCGTCGAGACAGCTTTGAGGGACGCTAAGCTCGATAAAGGCAAAATCGATGAAGTGGTCTTGGTTGGAGGGTCAACACGTATTCCCAAGGTGCAAAAGCTGTTGAGCGACTTCTTCAACGGAAAAGAACTGAACAAATCCATTAACCCCGACGAAGCTGTGGCCTATGGCGCTGCCGTCCAAGCTGCTGTGCTCACTGGAGACACGAGTGACACCATCAAGGATGTTCTACTTGTTGACGTAGCTCCATTGTCTCTCGGCATTGAGACAGCTGGAGGCGTTATGACTGCCCTCGTCAAGAGAGGCACCACCATCCCTACAAAAACATCCCAGATCTTTACCACTTATGCTGACAACCAACCCGGAGTCGACATACAGGTGTATGAAGGTGAGCGGACCATGACTAAAGACAATAATCTCTTGGGTCGATTTCACCTGACAGGTATCCCGCCTGCTCCTCGCGGGGTGCCCCAGATTGAAGTCACCTTTGACATCGATGCCAATGGTATTCTCAATGTCACAGCCCAAGACAAGAGTACTGGAAAGTCGAATAACATTACCATAAAAAATGATAGAGGTCGCCTCAGTCAGGCAGATATTGATAGAATGTTGGCCGAAGCTGAAAAGTACAAAGATGAAGACAGGAAACAACAAGAAAAAGTCAGTGCCAGAAACCAACTGGAGGGCTATGTTTTCAGTGTCAAGCAGGCAGTGGACGCTGCTGGTGACAAACTTTCTTCTGCGGATAAGGATTCTGTGCTCAATGCCTGCAATAGCACACTCAAATGGCTGGACAATAATTCGCTGGCCGAAAAGGAAGAGTTCGAAGACAAACTAAAGGAAATACAAAAGATCTCTTCATCTATAATGGCTAAATTACATACAGGACAGAGTGGGCATGGGGATCAGTCACACAGTAATCACAACGGACCAACTGTTGAAGAGCTAGATTGATCTGCATAAATAGTTTGTATTATGAAAAAGATTTAAGTGAACTATTTTTAAATAGTTTGTTTTCAGATGGAATTATGTGATAAAATAAGACAGTGTTTATTAAACTACTTATACATTTTGATAAATTGCAATATTTGTTTCACTATTGTAAAGTTTATTGTATATTGATGTAAATAGTCAAATGTACCATTGATTAAATGAAACGCAAGTAGAGCTACTTTCTTATGTGTGTATGTTTTATTTTGCTAAGTGTAAATGATTAAAGACATTGAAATGTTATTAATAGTTGTTGAAAGAAATGGTTTATATAATGCTTTTGTTTTTTAAAAAAAATGGCTTTTCAGTTTTAAATGAGCGAATAAAAGTTTATGCAAATATTTTGAGCTGTTATTTTTTCTTCTTTCAAATATCGTTGTTCAATACTACTATCAAAAATAATCATCATTGAAAGAAATCACTTTTTGTTATCTGGAAATTCCAATTTCTCGGGTCAAAGTATGTACAAGTGTGTTTTCTGCCCAAGTGCTGACAAAAAAACAAAACAATACAACAAGAGCATTTTGAAGTCTGTTGCAGTGGATTGTATGCTTCATTGCATCACCAACAATTTTATGTAGAGACTTCACGTTGTGATCTGACAAGCACATCAAAACAGATTAAAACAGCATTCGATGTCACTCTTCGAAAAAACTTAGGCAAAACTATATTAACTTTTGAAACTAAATAACCACACGCACAATATGTCAAACTTTATTGCCAATAAAAGGTGGTGGATACACTTAAAATTATTTTAAACTTTGTTTTATAAAAATTTTGGAGTTTTATACATGACAGACTAAAGTGTAACTGTAATCAATAGGAATGCTGTGCAGTATGGGTTGGCTGGTAAACATGATATTTTCTCTTTTATATTCAAACTGTGGCGCTTCATCCATGACGCAACAAAGTGAAAGATAATCAATATGACAGATGTACATATTAATATTTTGAACTCAACACTTGACCAAATCGGTTGTTATTTAAGAAACAACCAAAACATTTACTTTAAAAAAAATCATCAATAAATAGTAAGTTATTTGCAAAAAAAAATACAAATTTTGAAATGATAGTGTAACAATTTTTAACAATTTTCTATAACTCTCAGATAGAGTGTAAATGCCAGATTGCTGGAAACTGTTTAATTATTTTTGCTTTTCTAAAATTCTTTTGACTGTATGCAAGTGTGTTGAATGTCATACTGTATGCAGAGCTACAAAAAGCCACATAATTACATTGTTAATAATTATTTAGGGTCGTCCATCGCCACACACATACCCCCACCCAAGGATCATCACAAACAGTCAGACGCAAACTACCCTATGCAGCTACTCAGACCAGCCCTACCTCTTGATAACAATTTTCTTGTATTTTATTTAGAATATAACGATCTATTTCTAAAAAACAAAATCATTTTGCACCAAAACAAAAATATCGAACTACCGAAAAACCTTGCAAGTTACTAATAAGCTGATTTTGTGAAAAAAAAAACAACTTGCTAATCACCATTTAATTCTCGAATATAAACTGTTTAACAGAAAAGGATCAAACTTTAGTCGATTTTTATTACACATTACAAAAGAAAACAAAACAAAAAATCTATCAAATATGCGAAATTAACTCCTGCTACAATGTAATTTTAAAATGCTAACTCGTCACGTCTACCACTATCCATGATTCCCTAAACCCCCCTTGCAGTATGTGACATTATTTTTTGACAATCCATTTATTTACTATAACTGTATAATTATTTGTAAAGAAACAAGTGCAAACGACATATAATCAAAAAGCTAAACATGGTGTCAAATTATTTGAACGATAATTTGGTCAAGTTTTGAGCAAACGATGAGATTTTCAAAAGCGACGACAGTGTAAATAAAACCGTTAAAGCTATTCTAATAATCTGCATTGCACATCACATGTTAAATAAATTTACTATTAGATCTAATATAATTAAGTTTAATTCAATTATTTCAAAATGTTATTTTCGCTCTATTTGACCAATTAATTTTTTTTTAAATTTGTGTAACAAAATAAAATTCTCAAATAGATCGGATATTAGGATAGATATCCTAATTTATAAAAGGCTGTGTGCGCTCTTCTCTCTCTCTCTCTCTCTGTCTGTCCGCAAAATATTTTCGCCGGACATCACGTCAGAATCGGCAGCGATATATGAAGAACTTTTTACGGACTTTTGTTGAAAATAATATGTTAGATGTTTTAAATGTATAACCACAATTTTAGTTAAAGAAGAAAAATAAAAATTAAAGGCGTATTCGAATGTAGAGAAACAGTATTATTTATGCAACCGGAAAAGCATTAATATATGTGAAAAAGAACGCATAAAACTGTGACGTCACTATTGCTTATACATTAACTAATGACGTCATCTGCCGTGTTTAGAATGAAAAGAAATGAACTATTTCATTCAAATTTGATTTAGATCTACGTACACTATGAAATGTATACAATACAATTTTTCCGGCCTAAACTCATAAAATTTATTTTATGTATTTGGATTCTAGATCTAGAGATTCTAGATCTAGACTAAATCTAAATCTAAATCTACGCAATAACTAGATGTAGACGTAGACGCTAAGATCTAGATTTAGACTCTAAATTCTCTAAAATCAATTCCAAAAATAAATTTCTATATTAGGACTAAACTATTTCAAGACTTATTTATTTTATACAAAATCTTTGTTTGGAACTGGCTAATTTGGGATAAAAAATTAATTTGAAAGAATAGGCATATTCGCGTAAGTTAAGATTTTAAAATACGTGTTTCATTCTCCGTATTTTATAAGGTGCCTAAATAGCGGAGATGTTAGTGTACATTAAACCACGCAGGTGGTGCGGGTTCGAGACACAGCAAGTCAACTTGGTTAATGTATTCTTTTTTATTATGCTCGGGCTAAATTTAAAAAAAAAATTCTTTTAGGAATCTAGATCTAGATCTAGATTGTCGGGTGTCCGATAGGGCACTTCCCGGCGCCGCAGGCGCTTCAAATTTGGCATGATCTTGCCTTGGTGCGACAGAACACGGGGGCCGGTTGGCCGAAAGGTCTACGATGTGGGGGTCAAAACTGACCTCGACTGACCGGTACCTTATATGAGCTATAAATCGAAAAAAAATGTCCACGGAGGAACCTCTTCATAACTCTTGAGGTCGTAGACCGACCTTCGGGCGAATTAATTAAGCATTCAAATTCTCAATGTTTTCGAAAGCCTAAGCGAAGCTGGGCAGCATGCCTAGTCCTAATATATAAAACGCCATGTGCGCTCTTCTCTCTCTCTCTCTCTGTCTGTCCGCAAAATATTTTCGCCGGACATCACGTCAGAAACGGCAGCGATATATGGAGAACTTTATACGGACTTTTGTTGAAAATAATATGTTAGATGTTTTAAATGTATAACCACAATTTTATTTAAAGAAGAAAAATAAAAATTAAAGGCGTATTCGAATGTAGAGAAACAGTATTATTTATGCAACCGGAAAAGCATTAATATATGTGAAAAAGAACGCATAAAACTGTGACGTCACTATTGCTTATACATTAACTAATGACGTCATCTGCCGTGTTTAGAATAAAAAGAAATGAACTATTTCATTCAAATTTGATTTAGATCTACCTACACTATGAAATGTATACAATACAATTTTTCCGGCCTAAACTCATAAAATTTATTTTATTTATTTGGATTCTAGATCTAGATATTCTAGATTCATCTATTCAAATAATACATTTCTATACTAAAGTATTTCAGGCCTTAATTACTTTATTGAAATCTTTGTTTATCTATGCAATTTGCTAATCTCTATAATATATAAAGCAAAGTTGTCGGGTGCCCGACAGGGCACTTCCCGGCGCCGCAGGCGCTTCAAATTTGGCAGGATCTTGCCTTGGGGCGACAGAACACGGTGGCCGGTTGGCCGAAAAGTCTACGATGATGGGGTCAAAACTGACCTCGACTGACCGGCGCCTTATATGAGCTATAAATCGAAAAAAAATGTCCACGGAGGAACCTCTTCATAACTCCTGAGGTCGTAGACCGACCCTCGGGCGAATTAATTAAGCATTCAAATTCTCAATGTTTTCGAAAGCCTAAGCAAAGCTGGGCAGCATGCCTAGTATAATATATCACCTCTAGATCTAAAAAAAAATGTAAATATAGATCTAGATCTAGATAGCCTTCTGTTATTGACTTTAATTATTATTTCATCTCTAATAGTAAGAAAATGAATCGTCTATTTTTTTTAAATAGAACATCTTACACTAGCCACTGAATGGTAATAATCTAAATACAAATGATAGGCTAAATTAAATCGGAACGTAATCATTATTCATTTGGTCTCTGTTCATAACGAATCGAAATATGTCAAAGGTTACAAAGGTTATGGCGCATGCGCAGCGGTATCGCTTACGACCAATCAGCTCCTTGTATTCCTCGGTGTATCTAAAAATAAACATCTAGAACTTGCCACGAGATTCGTGTGTGCACCAGAGACTGTGTTTACATTCTAGGTTTTTCTACTACAGTTTCAACGAAATGTATATAAGGAACGAGCCAGTTGAGGTGGACAGATTAAGACTCGAGCGAGCTAAGATACAGCAGAGAAAGCAAAGCAAGAGTTGAAATAGCAAAGAAGCCTACAGGCCGAATCTAAGAGATTAAAACAGATCACAGAGGAGTGTAAAAGTAAATCCGAATCGGTTTTCTTAGTTAGTTTCTATTATTGTGTAACACAGTTCTTGACTTGGAAAAACATACGACTCATCAGAATCAAACATTATTGTGGTGACTGTCATCGAAATTTAAGTGAAGGTAAGTAACATTTTGTTTCACAATTAACCTATACATTGTTATGATTAGGTAATTAATGGATTTAAAATAGCAATAGGCTATGTATTCAAAGAAATCCCTCATACACAACTTATGATGATAGTTGCAAAACATTCATTGTGTTGTAAAGGTGAGTATTCTGTCGGCTTAAACAGGTGGCTCTTTCGACTATTTAATCAAAGCATGGAATCTGCTAATGTTGTCGAATTTTTTTGACTTAGAAACAAGTTCTGGTTTCAATATATTTTTTTTCCTATACATTGAATGTAGGCAGCCGATCCTACACTATTCTCAACGAGACTGTCGTTGAGTGGCTTATCAACAGTGTCGGTATATAATAACGCTATAGATTTTTTCTCATTTGATTCTGTCGTTGAGACTCTAATTATAGTTATAAACTGTAAAAACTAGCTAACGGAATAAAACCATTTCGATTAATTAATCGCTTAAAATATTTAATATAAGAAAAATTA